CAGGACTGCTGAGCCGCTGGAATGGAGTGAGCCGTGAGTCAGCCAGCAGGAAGGGACACTTACAGCCACTTGCATCAGATGTTCCTGCCGCGTGGCCCCATGGCCAGAGGCCCCAGCCGGGCGGGGGGCCCCCCAGCAATAGCCCTGCTTGTGACCCTCCCTTATCTGGGGACCTCCTGGGGCTTGTGGTTCCTGTCCCTGGGGGGGCCAGACAGGTGGGAACACGTGGAGGGGGCGCAAGCCAGGCTGGGCAACAGCCCAGGACTCCGACTCCGCCTGCCTCCTGGATCCGCAGCTGCTCCAGCCCCAGGTGCTGGCCCTGATTCCCACACCCGGATCCTAGCTTAGAAATTCTGCTGGGATCCGGGCTCTCCCCACACCAGCTCAGTGCTTTAGGGCCCGCCCTGTGCCCCCTCTGAGCCTCAGGTGCTCAGCTCTGTGCAGAGGAGGGAAGGACACAGCCTTCCTCCTGTATGCACAGGCTTGTGAGGATACTGTAATAGTCCCAGCACTGGCTCGACTGCTCCAGCCCTGTACCTGGGCACCTGCTACTCTCTCATGTGTGTGCATACACCAGCAGGTGTGTGCACGGGCCACACACCTCCACTCTGCTCCCACATGTTCACACGGTTTGCCTTACACAGACCCAGGCTCAATGCTTCTCTAAATGTGCATAGACACACACACACACACCTCATTCTGCTCACACTCACGCACACCAAACTAGCGCCCTTTTTTTTAACATTAGGGGACAAAGGTCTTTACCGTCATCCCCTGGTAGGCTGGCCAGATGAAACACAGGACGCCCGGTGAAATTTGAATTTCACATAAACAATGAACAATTGTTGGGGATATACTTGTGCTCGGGACTTACACTGAAAAGTTGGTCATTGTTTATCTGAAATGCTAGTTTCACTGGGCGTCTGTATTTTTATTTGCTAGATCTGGGAGCTCTTCCTGCTGGGTTGTGGAGGCCCTGAGCTGCCCTGGGTTCCCCCAGATGCTGCCCAGGAGGTGAACTCTGCATGACTGAGCCCCCAGGATTCCAGGGCTCCGGCCACCGGCCAGGCCGAGGAGGGGGTGGTCAGAGTGGACACCACCCGGCCAGCCTGCCTCCTCCTGGCTCCAAGGGGGCAGGGGGAAGCAAAGGCCCCAGGGCTGGCAGTCAGGACCTGCCTGGTGTCTGCTCTGGGGTTTTGGGGAGATCCCACTGAGAGTCACCTGCAGAAGCAAGGGGCTTCTTGGGGATGGGATGCCTCTGAGAGAGCCGGCTCCCTGCTCCCTTGGCCTGAGGCTTGCCAAGCCCGCTCCATGGCTGGCGCGGGAAAGGGGGCCAGCACCCCTCAGCTTCTGGGCCCCAAGGGAGCCACAAGGGAAGCTGAACTGCAGGGGGTGGGGGGAGAGGTGAGGGGAAGGGGACGCCGGGAGCCAGTGTATAGCTGCAGCTGATGCAAGAGGCTGCCCCAGCCACCTCATTTCCTCCTGTCCTTCTTTTTCAGGCCAGCACCTCCTGCTCTGGGAGCCTCAGGCTGGCCCGGCCCCTCAGGACAACCCTGAGCCCCACTCCAAGGCTGGCCGCCTCCCCTGGCATCCTTGGGGGCATTGGGGAGTATCCTCGTTCTGGGCCCCGCCCGTCCTGCCCACCAGTTCTGTCTGGGTCCTTTGACCTGGCTGGACCTGCTCCCCACCGACCGCCGCTGCCCCAGCCCGGACCCCGCTCCGGAAGGATGGAGGAAACTGGCCTCCAGCAAGCGGGGCCCGCGGAGGAGCAGGACCGGGGCCCAGGCTTCCTGCCTTGCCTGCCTGGCAGGTCCCTTCTACCCCGGGGTAGGGCCGATCTCCCTCCTGGAGGCAGGCAAGACCCCTGGGGGCCCAGGGACAGGTGGGGAGGATGTCCAGGCCCAGCTGGGCCCCCAGCACCTCTGGGACTTCGGCTTGTAAACAGGGTCTGTCTCGAGGAAGATGACCAGAATCGGCGGTCTGGGCTGGTGGCCCACCCCCGGCAGGACAGGGCTGAGGCTGAGAGCCAGCAGGCTGGGCACAGGGGTCCCTCCTCTTCCCCGATTCCTGCTGGCCAACCCCCCCAACAGTGCAGGCTGGACCAGTGCTGAGCCCCGGGGGACTCTGGTGGGTCCTGAGGGTCTCCAACCTGTCCTGTTCCAGGGCATCAGGATGTCCATTTATTGAACTTACATGTATGCCCCCAGGGACATACATACATGTGCAAGGACTTGCATATTTCCCGCTAGTGTTGTATATGCATGTACACACACATGCCTGGCCCCCAATTCCTCACACACGGGGCGGGGGATGCAGGACTCATGGGGCCAGGTGCCCAGAAGCAGTGGGTCTCCTCTGGGGTGATCCTGCCCCCCAGGGGACACTGGGTGACGTCTGGGGACATCTGTGGTTTTCATGACTTGGGGGTGCTCCTGGCATCAAATTGGTGGGGGCCAGGGATGCTGCTCCACACCCCACAGTGCCCGGTATGGCCCCCCACAGAGAGTGACCCGGCCCCCATGTCAGCAGTGCTGAGGGGAGGCCGGGGAGAGCCCCTGGGTAGAAAGACCCCAGAGGCAGCAGCCGTCTGCCCGTCTCGGAGCTTCCTGTTTCCCCACCTGCAGCCTGGGGCCCACGAGGGGCCCGCGTGTCCGGCCCGTGTGAGGGGAAGCAGCTCCTCTGAGCGGGTGCCCAGGGCTGGGCCCAGCTTCTGGCTTTGGGAACACATCTGCCCCCACAGGCCGAGCTCCTGAATCAGGACCTCAAAAGATGGCCGCAGGTGAGACCTCAGTTCATTTCTGTTCCCTGAGGTCAGCATGAACGGCAGCCCCACGTGGGTCGGTACAGGGACAAACGCAGAATAGCTACCGGCCGGAAAACGGTTCCACTCACTGTCAGGGCTCAATCGTGTGCCCCAGAAAGATAGGTCTATGTCCCAACCCTCCTGGGGGCCTGTGAATGGGACCTTTGGAAATAGGATCTTTGCAGGTGTAATGGAGTGAAGATGAGGTTGTCCTGGAGTGGGGTGGCCCTAAGCAGTGACCGGCGTCCCCATAAGAGAGCAGACGCAGGCACAGAGAAGACGCCCACATGAAGGCGGAGGTGAAGTTCAGGGCGGTGTGTGTACAAGGAGCGCCAAGGATGGCCGGCCACACCAGAAGCCGGGAGAGGCAGGAAGGCTCCTCCCCCGGAGCCTGCGGGCAGGGTGTCACCTAGATCTCAGACTGCTGGGCTCCAGAACGTGAAAGCGGAGATCTCTGTTGTTTGAAGCCTCCGGCGTGTTTGTACTTTGTGACAGCAGCCCGGGAAGCTCATACACTTCACGACCCTATGTGCTCGTGCACAAATGCGCACGCACGCTCAGACACACCCCTTCTCCTTAGCAACACGTGGTCAGCCCTTTCTGGGCGCCAGGCCTCTGCAGGCGCTGGGGCAGCGGCGGACAGGTCTGTGCTCTGGCAGAGCCGACCTGTACCCACCTGCCATCCAGAACGGCACCTAGACCTGCAGGTGACCACGTACACAGAGACAGGGCCATGGCCCCCGAGGCAGGAGTGGGAGGGGACAGCCAGGTGAGGAGAGGGGTGGGGAGGATGAGGAGGGAGCCTGAGGCTTCCCTGAGCTGGCAGGTCTAGCAGCCCCACCCCAGGCACCTGGAGCCAACGTGCGTGTCTACACACATAACACGCATGCACACGCAGGGGACGGGCTGGGGAGTCCCCTCCAGGTTTCCCCAGACGCCCTGGGGCTGGCTGAGGTCAGGCCTCCCGGCTCCTGTGGCCTGAGCTGTGGTCTTGGGGGGGCAACACATAAGCAGAGGCTGGCTGGTGGCGAAGGGGCCGAGCCAGCTTCAGGTCAGCCAGGCCTGGCTGGGGGACAATTGGGGGTGGGAGGTGGGCAGCCTCTGGAAGGACAGGCTGGGGTCTCCAGAAGAGGGACCACTGTCCACCTCGCAGGCCTGTGCCCCGAGCTCAGGGACTGAGGACTTGGCACCGCAGGGCTGCAGGGCCACGGAGCTTAGGATGGGCTGCTTCTTTTGGGGCCTGGGGAAAGGGGTGCCCAGCCGAAATAGGATTGTCCTGTCCTGGCTGCCCCTAACCCCTGGGCTTTTTCCCCATCAGGCCAGGAAAACGCTCTTTTGCAGGACTGAGAGAGGGTCCTTCACAGATCTGTCCCCACCCGCTACTGTGGTCCTCCTTCCCTGCCAACGATGGGGCGAACTCTTGGAGAGCCCCCCGAGGGAGGCGGCTGGACCTGGAAGCGTGTTGGGGTGCGCCTGCCGGGGCCGGGATCGGGAACTGCACGAGGCAGCCACAGCAGGTCCCAGAGCTGGAGCATCGCCCACGGGAGTCGGTGGATCCCAAGCTCCGGCAGAGAGACTTGGGGTGGTGTCAAAGGGCAGGGCTCGGGCTCGGCTCCGCGCCTGCGTCCCGCCGGCCTCCCCGAGCCTCGGGCAGCCCCGCCCACGTCCGACAGAATCCTGCCCGGCTCGCGCACCAAGAGCCCCTCCCCGCGCCGCACTGCGCAGGCGCGCGGGCGGGCCCCGCGGCTGGACCGCGCAGCCGCACTCGGGCCCGGAGCGCCCCCTCCGACCCCCCCTACGCCGTGCGCGTGTGGGCGGGGCCGGGGGCGGGGGTCTGCGTTGGGGGCGTGGCGGGGCCTGGCCTATAAAAGCGGCGGCGGCGCGGCGCGCGCGGCTCCTCTCGGCGGCGGCGGCCCAGGCGGAGGAGTCCGCGGTGGCGGCGGCGGTGGCGGCGGCGCTGTTCCCCGCGCGGTCCGCGCAGCGGGATCGGGGCTGCGCGTCTCGGGCGGCGGCGGCGGCGGCTCTGCGGCCCCGGCCCGAGCCCGACCCCGGTGAGTGCAGCCCGGCGACCCCGGCCTGGCCCGGCCCGGCCCCGATCTGGGCGCACGGATCGGGCCCCGCGGAACCCGGCCGCGCTGGCCTTGACTCCCGGCGCGCCGGCCGCGGCCACTCACGCCCTCCTTTGTCTGCTCCCGCCCGCAGGGTCCCCTCCCCGGCCGCCCCCCGCCCACGGGCCGCCCCCCGGGCCCCGCGTCCCCTCCCCCGCTGGTGGGGCCCGGACAGAAGATGGTGCAGAAGAAAACAGCCGAACTTCAGGGCTTCCACCGTTCGTTCAAGGTGAGGGCCAGGCTGGTTTGGGGGGCGCTCCGGGTGAGACCACCCGAGTGGCCGCTGGAGGGGGCGCGGAGCCCGCCCCCGGCATCTCCCCCGGGGCTCGTGCCCGCCCCCGCCGTGCGCCTGGGGCTGCCCCAGCCGGGTGTACAACGGTGAAGGGGGGTGGTCAGTGGGCCATAATCCAGTCTCCAGCCCCATGGGGCCTGTGGGGTCCTTCCTCCGGGATCCCCAAATAGGGCTGAGGGCCCCCTACCCGTGGAGACCGTTGCCTGTGTGTCCCCTGCAAGCTGTAGCCCGGTGCACGCTGTTGGGGGAGTCAGCAGGCCCCAGTCCTGTCCCCAGCTCCATGGGGCCTGTGGGATCTGTAGGGGTCTTCCTCCAGGAGCCCCAGGCAGGGCTGCAGGCACCCCTGCATGCCCTCCTAGGTGGTCTGCGGAATGGGGGAGTGGATCGGATGCCCCGCCAGCCCTGCATCTCCCAGACACTCTAGGCCCAAGCACTGTTTCCTGTCGGAGCGGGAAGTTTCTGCGGTGGCCCCATGGCTGCCAAGCGCTGGTCTCAGATGAGCGAGTCCAGGGGGGGTGGGCAGGTGCTGGGCAGGGGCCTCACCGGGCCTGGCCCAGGGGACGCAGTGATGTCACCGCCACCCCACCCCACCGGTGGAGTTATGTAATGGCCTCTCTGGGCCGCTTTGGACGGGGACCTGTTGCCCAGTAGAGGAGGCAGGACCTGGGTGTGTGTGAGTGTGTGTGTGTGTGTATGTGTATATGCTGGCGTGCCAGAGTGGGAGGAGCGAGCTGAGACTGTTTGGGTTAGAATTCCCAGGCCTGTCCAGCCAGCGTCCCTGGCCAGCGCCCCACCCCTGCCCACACGCCTGTCATTCTCGCTCCCCCCTCCAGGGCAGCAACAGCCTTGGCAAGTCCAAGTGTCCAGGGCTGGGTGGGAGGGGCGTGGACATGAGGCGTCACTGGCGGTGGTCTCACTCCTCCTGGGGCTGGGTGTGAGCCGAGATGGGGTCAGTGTGTGGGGCCAGCACAGCAGCCAAAGCAAACGCGAACTTTCTGGATGGTTCCAGCCGCCTCCTGCCAAGGCCTGCTGACTGGAGTCCCCTAGCCAGCCCTGGGCCCAGTCCGCCCAGACTGCCTGGGACTGCGGGCTGGCCTCTGCAGGCTGCCGGACAGCCCTGAGCCAAGGTGGGACTATGGGAGTCCCACGAGAGGTAGGAGGGACACTGGCCAGGGAGTCCTGGCTCTGAGGTGGCCCTGGGCCGGCCACCCTAGTTGGAGTCTCCTCCCACTGCACTGGGGTTGCCCCCTTGGGCTAGAGGCACCTCCCTCCCTCAGGTCCGGCAGCAGCTCAGCAGGGTGACACGCCTGCCGGGGTCGACCACAGATTTTCCCCGTTTTAAGATGGGAAAGTGGAGGCTCGGAAAGAGTGGCGGTTGTCCTGGGTTCCCCTGCAGGTGGTGACCAGGACACAAGAGCTTGTTGAATGTCGCGTTCCTTCACCTCGGTGGTTTGGCTGTCTCTTCTGTCTGCTTTGAGTTGGAGGCTCAACAGGCGTGTGGGGACAGTGATGGGACCTGGTAGCCCCCTTGGATCCTTGCGCCCATATGCGGTCGCACGAGCTGGGGGTAGCTCTCTCCCGTGTCACCCTGGATGCTGGTCAGGCCCAGGGCTGAGGTGGTTAGGCCGAGTGCTGGCTGCCAGCCTCACGTCCACTCTCCCTCCTGATGACCCCCTTATGTGGCCGTTCTGAGGCCCCCCCTCCCAGGGGGAAGTGGTCACCAGGCACCTGTGGATGGAGCCTTATCAGAGTGCTGATGTGGGCACTGGCGATGCCGTGTGGCTGCCTCCCCGTGGGGGCCGGACCCCTGGGTGGGCAGGGGCTGGTGGACAAGCCCCACGCCGGCTGGCGGGAGTGCCCCCTCCCTCCCGCTCCCCTCCCCTGCCCGGGCCTCCCAGCAGCTATCTGCAGGGTGGGTGGGGAGGCGGGAAGGGCCCACGCCTCTTTGTCAGCCGCTCCCTCTGACCTCCGCCTGCCCCCTCTGAGGCCAGCCTGGCTTCCGGGCTCCTGTCTGCAGGAATCTGGCCTGGCCCCTCCTGCCGGCACGCCCCTTGGGGTCTCCCTAGGGCTCTCCTGGACTTTCTTATCTGCTGGATCATCCTCTTGCCAAAGCCCATGCCCTAGTTGTCCCAAGGCCCAGAGAGAGGCAGTGATTTGGCTCAGGTCGCCCAGCATCGGTGCTGGCACCACCCCTGGGCGTCCACCCAAGGCCCTGGCCATTAGAGCTGATTCTAAAGAGACCTGGCTGGGCCTCAGTCCCAGCTTTAAAGCCTCGCCCATGAGGCAGGGACCGCCTGTCCTCACGCTGGATCATCTGCTCTGCAGAAATGTTTACGTTCCAGCAACCTGTTGTCTGGGGCACAGAAAACCATTTCTCCTGCATGGGTGGGTTCTCCCACCCTGTGCCCAGTCCTGGGGGCAAGCAGGGAGCTTGAGTGGGCCCCTCCTCACCAGGGCTGGTCTCTTAGCTGGGCACTGGGGCCCGTGAGGGGCACCCTCCTGGGGGTGTCAGGGGTGAGCAGGACAGTGCAGGCTGTGGCCTGGGCAGGGCCAGGCAGAGGGTGGCCCAGTGTTCACACTGGAGCCTGTGGGTGTCTCTCCCGTCACCCCTGGGAGTGTGCCGCAGTCCAGTATCAGCGGCGGGGTGCTGGGAGAGAGGAGGCGGAGCTGGGTGGGGCTGCACCGGGAGACCACAGAGCGGTGGCTTCAGCATGCCCAGAGCTGGGGGGCTCACAGGCAGCCCCAGGAGTGGAGGTGTGGCTGGCAGGGGGACGAAGAAAACCATCCAGGGGCAGAGAGCACGGTGGTGCCGGGAGAGGGCAGCGTGAGGCAAGGAGGGCAGTGGTGCCTGTTTCACAGAGAGGAAACTGAGGCCAGGAGGACCAGGGCCTTGCGCAGGTAGGATGGAGCCCAGCAGGCCGTGGGAACGCAGGCAAGTCCTCCCCGCTGGGTGCCTGGCCCAGGAGCCAGTGACTCACCCCTCCCACTGCGTGCCCGAGGTCAGGCGGGCTGTGGAGCTGTCCCCATTCTGCAGGCCAGCACACCAAGGGTAGGTGTGGCCTGGGCCCCACGGGACTTGGTCCTGGCATGGGAGGCAGCGCCCCCTGCTCCTGTGTCTGTCCGGCCCCTTCCCACACGGCCCCCCTCCCCAGAGACCCCAAAGACCCTGGGCTCGGGGTAGAAGGTCCCTTTGCTCATGGTCAGCAAAGCCAGGCTCTCCCCATCGGCGTGTGGTCACGTGGCTGGGTGGGGGGGAGCATGTGTGTTTTCACGGCCGGTCTCTCGGTGGGGTGGGGCTGTCCTGACAGGGGTGCTGAGAGCGCTCTCTCCTCTTCTCTCCCCTGCAGGGGCAGAATCCTTTCGAGCTGGCCTTCTCCCTAGACCAGGCGCACCACGGGGAGGCGGACTTCAGCCTGGAGTGCCCGGCCCGCCCTGGTGAGGGGCCTGGGAGGGAGGGGGTATTACTGGTGGAGGGGTGAGGGCTGGGCTGGGCCTGAGAGCGGCAGGCCAGCCCCGGGGGCAGGTGGGGGCAGGGGCTACCTCCTGAACCCGGTGGGCTTCCCTTCCTGGTTTTGCCCAGATATGCCCTCGAGCCAGCCCATCGACATCCCCGATGCCAAGAAGAGGGGCAAGAAAAAGAAGCGGTGCCGGGCCACCGACAGCTTCTCGGGCCGCTTCGAAGGTGAGGGACGCCGGTGGGGCGAGGGCTGGCAGGGCACGGGGCCCCCCCAGGGCGGTTCTCACTGTCCCTTGCTCCCCAGATGTCTACCAGCTGCAGGAGGACGTGCTCGGGGAGGGTGCCCACGCCCGCGTGCAAACCTGCGTCAACCTCATCACCAACCAGGAGTACGCCGTCAAGGTGGGCACATGCCGCCGGCTCCACTCGCCTCCCCCCGCCACCCGCAGGCCTGGGATCCGGCACTGGCCAGAGGGGTGGCAGGAGGCGGCGTGCTGGCATTCGAACTCCCAGACCAGCAGCCATCTGGGGAAAACCAGTGTCTAAAAATGGCCTCAGGGGTGGTGACTCAGGCCACCCCTGGGAATCTGGGTCAGCCTAGGCTGGGCCCCCGAGTCCCCATGGGAAGTGACCGCGAGGGGCAGCCCCTGTGCAGGAGGCCGTGGACCTGGGGCTGAGTGGCCTCTGAGAGCCAGGGACTTTGGTCAGAGCTGACGCTCGCCTCCTGGGTCACCTCAGGCCAGTCCCGTCCCCAGGGATGACAAATGCTTCTCTGTATCGGTTACGAGGATTAGGAGGGCGACACAGTTCTCGGGGCCCCGGGGGGCTCGGCATTGGGGGGGAGATCAGGGCAGGCTGTGAGAGCTCCTGCTCACCCCGTGCAGCGTCTGGCCAGGGGTGGCCGAGTGGCCTGGCAGCTGTGGCCTCGCCACCTGGGTTGCCCAGCCAGGTGGTCAGATCGGAGGTTCTGAGAAGCCTTCCAGGTCCCCCATGACCCTGCCTCTGGGCTGGGGGGGCACCGTGGGCTGGCCAGAAGCCTCGGGTCGTGGGGGAGGTCTGGCAACAGAGGTGGCTGTGGTCCCTGCCTCCAGGGAGCTCCCAGGAGGGGTGGGCGATGGGATGGCCGCACACACCTTCTGCGCACGAGGTGTCCTGAGCCCTTCCTCCTGCAGATCCTATCGGCACTCTGGTTTCCTGTCTCCGTTTGACAGACATGGAAACAGAGGCTCGGGGTGCTTAGGTAGCCCGGGTCACGTGGTGTGTGACCTAGAAGGCCGTCCCCCTCGTGCAAGGGACAGCTGCCTTCTCCATGAAGCGGGGCTCTTAGCAGATTCCCCAGGGACAGGAGGAGGTTCAGGTTACTCCAGGAGGGTGTGGCTGGTGGCATTGTACAACTTGCTTGTTCTGTTCCTCTTTGGGACAGGTGTGTTGTCTTTAGACAGGTGAGACAGTGCATAGGGTAGTGGCCCAGCCCTGGTGGCCAGTGGCACACACGGCAGCTCCTCCTCCGGGCTGTGGTGCTGGGCCCGGCGCCTGGGTGCGGGTGGGGACCCAGCCTGTGTGGTGGAGCTCAAGGGTCCAGCCCTGGGAAGAGGTTCCCAGTGGGTGCGTGGGGCCCGAGGTTGCGGGGCGAGAACTGGCTGCCACCTTTAGGTGGCTGGGGTTGCTCCTAGGGGAGTGGCCCAGAACTCCCGGGTCCTCGGAGCTCCTGGGTGCCAGTGGGGGTTGGGAGCAGAGGCACGGGCTGGCTTCCTGAGCTCTGGGCTCCTGGGAGGCTGTACCTGCTGGTGGGCAGGCGGCCAGTCTGGGCTGGCCTGAAATAGACCCAGCCCCATGGGCTGAGGGCATCTGCCCAGACCGGTGTGGAACTGGGGGTGAGACTTGGCCAATGGGGATGGCTTGGCTGGTAGTTGGTACCCCGAGGCCCTTCTAGTCTCCTGAATGGTGTGTGAGCTGGCACAGTGGCCACCAGGCTCCCAGTCAGGGAGGGGAGGCCGGCCAGTCCAAGAGACCCTGACATGGGTCCTGTTTGCAGGCCTGTTGGGAAACCTCTGTGCCTTCTTGCTCTCCCTTACACACACACACACACACACACACACACACACACACAGTTCAGGGGAAACGCTTTGTCCCCGGCTGCTGCTCACACCACCGTTCTGATTTCCGGCAAGTTCTGAGCCCCCATAGGAGAGTTCTGCCTTGCAGAGCTTAAAGGTCTTTCAGGCGTGAAATGGGGGGAGTTTCTGGGTTGGGGGGGCCTTCAGGCCGTGGAGGGTCTGCCTGACCCAGCTGCTGTGTCCCCCCCCCCGCCATCCACATGCCCTCTCAGATCATCGAGAAGCAGCCGGGCCACATTCGGAGCAGGGTTTTCCGGGAGGTGGAGATGTTGTATCAGTGCCAGGGACACAGGTAACGTCACACGCCGGGCCCCCAGCCGTCCCTCAGGGGACGAATGGGCCCGAAGGCCTCGCCGCCCCCAGCAAGCACTTAGTGAGCACCACTGTATGCTGGGCGCTGTGGGCCGGCCCAGCGGCAGGGGGCTGACAGTCGGAGGTGGGCGGCCCCAGTCCCAGCCTTCCTGTGGGCCCAGGGGTGGAGAAGGTGGCCCTCCTGGGCTGGGCTGTGGGTCCAGGGGCCTCGGGAGGCCTCACTCCCTTCCTGCCTCTCCACCTCCCACCCCAGGAACGTTCTAGAGTTGATCGAGTTCTTCGAGGAGGAAGACCGCTTCTATCTGGTGTTTGAGAAGATGCGAGGGGGTACGTGGGGCCTGGGGGACATCTCCAGCTGGGTCCTCATGGGCCGCCGACTCAGGGCCACCAGGGAGAACCTGTCAGAGGGTCCTGCCCATCAGAGGGGGCTTGTGGGGTCTGCGCTTTCTGTCCACACGGCAGCTCAGGGTGCAGTTTGGGCCCAATGAGGCTAAAGCCGGGTTGTCCGTGCTGGGTGGGGTGGGGTGGGGTGGTGGGCACTGGGCAGTGGCCTGGGGACACGCAGGTGACTACAGCATTTTCTCCCGCCACCATGGCCCGGCCCCAGGCTCCATCCTGAGCCACATCCACAAGCGGCGGCACTTTAATGAGCTGGAGGCCAGCGTGGTCGTGCAGGACGTGGCCAGCGCCCTGGACTTCCTGCACAACAAAGGTAGGTTCCATCCCCGGAGGGGTCCTGGGGATCCGCCAGGGTCCAGCCTTGCCCTCTGTCCACCTACCACTGACCCTCTGCGCGGTTCCTCCCGCAGGCATCGCCCACAGGGACCTAAAGCCCGAGAACATCCTCTGTGAGCACCCCAACCAGGTGAGGGATGCAGGGGGCGGCCCCCCCCCTCCCCGGGGACCCCAGACCCAGCCCGCGCTCACGCCCGCCGCCCCCAGGTCTCCCCGGTGAAGATTTGTGACTTCGACCTGGGCAGCGGCATCAAACTCAACGGGGACTGCTCGCCCATCTCCACCCCGGAGCTGCTCACCCCGGTGAGGGGCGCCCCGACGGGGGGGCGGGACGGCCCGGATCCGGTGCAGATCCGGTCCAGCTGCAGCTGCGGCTGCGGTTGCGTAACCTCGAGGTGCGGGGCCGAGGCTCCGCTGCGAGCTCGGGCTTCCGCTTGGCAACAGCCGCTGATTGGCGGGGCGGGCTCCCAGAGCCTGCCGCTGATTGGGCGGGCGGGCGCGGCGGGGCGGGCCGGGCTCCCGGATCCTGCCGCTGATTGGGCGGGCGCGGCGGGCTCCCAGCACTTGTTGCTGATTGGACAGGGCGGGCTCCTGGTGCCTGTTGACTGGCCGGGGGGGGGGGCGGGGCGGGGCCTTGAGGCGCGGCGGGCTCAGGTGACCCGGGTTCAGGCGCCTCACGTGACGTCGGGAAGTCCCGAGGCGCTGACGGGCCCCCCCTACCCCTTACCCCCACCCTCTGCCCGCAGTGCGGCTCTGCCGAGTACATGGCCCCCGAGGTGGTGGAGGCCTTCAGCGAGGAGGCCAGCATCTACGACAAGCGCTGCGATCTCTGGAGCCTGGGCGTCATCCTCTACATCCTGCTCAGCGGCTACCCGCCCTTCGTGGGCCACTGCGGCAGCGACTGCGGCTGGGACCGCGGCGAGGCCTGCCCGGCCTGCCAGGTGCGCGCGCCCCAGGCCCTGCACCAGGCACTCCGGGGACCCTGCCCTGGGCCCAGCACCGCACCCCGGGCACCCTGCCCTGAACCTGCACCAGGCCCCCTGGGCACCCCGCTCTGGGGCCTGCACCGGGCAACCCGCCCCCACTCAGGCCCTGCACCAGGCACCCCGTGCACCTGCTCTGGGCCCCTGCACCAGGCACCCTGGGCATCCCGTGCACCCTGCTCTTGGCCCTGCCCAAGGCACTCCGGAAGCCCTGCCCCAACTCGGGCCCTGCAGTGGCACCTTGGGCACCCCCACCCTGAATCTGCATCGGGCATCCCACTCTGGGCCTGCACTGGCACCCCATGCACCCCATCGCCCGCTCTGGGACCTGGCCTGGGCACCCCGTGCACCCCCGTTCCTACCCTGGGACCTAGACTGGGTACTATCATGAACCCTGAGGACTCCCTGTGCACAGCTCCAGGCCTGGTCTGTGCGCACACACACACACCCCACCCTATCTTGGGTCCTGCCCAGTGTCCCTCCCTGGGCCTGGCCTTAGATCAGCCACACATCCCCTGGGCAGTGCCAGTGTGGCCTTTCTGGGTCTCCCGAGGCTCATTGGGTCCCCTGGCCCACAGGGAAGAGCATTCAGGGCTCAGGGAGCTGAGGAGGGGGTGAGGCCTGTGATTTGGAGTGACAGGGTTCCAGCCTTCTTGCCCGCATGACGAGGTTCAGGGTTCAGGGCCGGTTCCCCCGGAGCTGCTTTTCTATGAAGCAGGCTTCCCTTGGGCAGAGCCCAGCGTGGGCCCCCCCCGAGACTGGCTCTCTAGTCCAGACCCCCCAGACCTTTGGCCCCTCGCCCCCCGGAGCCCCGCCCTGCCCACTAACCTCAGGACACCAGTCCTGAGTCCCACAGAGCTCTCCAGCCACCCTGCTGTCCGAGCGGCCAGTCGGGGATCCTTGAACTTGGGCCCCGGGTCACAGGTCAGGCCCCGTGGTGGGGTCTGGGGCCCTGAAGGAGCTTGTCACTCAGCAGTGTCTCGGTCCCTGCCTGGGTCTGGGCTCGGCCGTCCCATCATCGGGGCCTTGGCCTCCGCCCTCGCTGGCTGCGCTGACCCTCCGCCCTGCGTCCCCCAGAACATGCTGTTTGAGAGCATCCAAGAGGGCAAGTACGAGTTTCCCGACAAGGACTGGGCCCACATCTCCTTCGCCGCCAAAGACCTCATCTCCAAGCTCCTCGTCCGCGACGCCAAGCAGCGGCTCAGTGCTGCGCAGGTCCTGCAGCACCCCTGGGTGCGGGGGGTGAGTGCCGGCCGCCCCCACCCAGCGTCCTCCGCGGCCCGGGGGTGACCTGGAGCACGTGTCGCCACTCTGAGATGTGGTCAGGCGGTTGGTGGTGGTGTCTGCTAGGAGCCCAGGCACAGTGGGGGGCTGGCGGGCGCAGCCGTGGAAGGCCAGGGAGGGGTCGGGACCACCGGAGCTGAGGTCAGCTGGGGGTCGAGCCTCTGGCCGGGCCCGGAGCCAGGGTCAGTAGAGGCCTGCCACGCCCAGCACCAGTGTCGGCGGAGCTCGTGTTTCTCCCGGCCAGCGGTCATCTGAGCCGGGCTGCCACCCCAGGCCAGGGAGCTTAGCCAAAAATAAAAGCTGGCACCGGGGCCCCCGTGGGGCGCACAGACTGGGGCCCCGCTCCTGAGGCAAGTCGGGGCAGGGGCTCCCCAGCTTCAGGAGCGTCAGGAGAGCAGGGTCGGGAAGGGAGCAGCTGCCACGGGTTTGGGCTGGAACCGCAGGAGGGGTCAGCTTTGGTGAGCGGTCTGGCCTGGGGAGCTGGGCTCGGGCAGTGTCGTCGTCATCCATCCCGTCCCCTCCCCCTGGCCTGCCTCAGTCCTGGCACGTGCACCCCCTTATCTGGGGTGGTCACAGCCTGCGGGGGAGGGCCGTCCTGGGGGCCCGGTGGTGTCTGCTCTGCAGCTGCGTCTCCTGTGTCCTTGCAGTGCGCCCCGGAGAACACGCTGCCCACACCCATGGTCCTGCAGAGGTGAGGCGCTCGGCTCGGAGGGGAGCTCCACACCCGGGGGTGGGGCTGTATGTTAAGGTGTTTGAAATGGCTTTAAAATATGTGTAAGTTGGGGAGAAGTCACCCAAACGCTTGAGTGTTTTCATACCTGGTGACTGATGGGGCCCCCAGCTGGAGTCCTGGCCCCCCGGGGAGACTGAGGGGGCCTGAGGTCTCGCAGCCCTTCCCCCAGGGCCCTGCACAGACCCCGGGGGTCCCCAGGGAAGCAGGGGTGCGCCTGGCAGCTCCCCTCCGTGTCCTCGGTGACCGCCCACCCCGTCCCCAGGAACAGCTGTGCCAAAGACCTCACGTCGTTCGCGGCCGAGGCCATCGCCATGAACCGGCAGCTGGCCCAGCGCGAGGAGGACGCGGCCGAGGAGGCGGGGCAGGGCCAGCCCGTGGTCATCAGAGCTACCTCACGCTGCCTGCAGCTGTCCCCACCCTCGCAGTCCAAGCTGGCCCAGCGGCGGCAGCGAGCCAGCCTGTCCGCGGCCCCCGTGGTCCTGGTGGGAGACCACGCGTGATCCCCTCCCTCCCTCCCTCCCTCCCTCCCTCCCTCTGTACATAGGTGCCCCCACCCCCATCAAATCTAAAGATTTTTTTAAGCTATTGCCAGCCGGTGACCAGCAGGCTGCCCTTCCCCCCGGCTGGATCCCGAGGCGCCGAGCTCCACTGGGGGGGTCTTTTTATATGAGGTTTTTGCTCTGGGTTTTTTCCTCGTTCTCTGCGCCCCCTCCATTTTTCTCTCCTCTTAACGGTGTTTAAAGCAGAGCAGGCCCGGGGCTGGCAGGGGGAGTGGGGCGTGTGGCTGGGTCTGCCGCCCGCTGCCCGCTGCTCGCCTGTACTGTGAAAGGCCCCCGCTGCCCCCACCGCCCCCCCGACGTGACTCAGGAGAGGAGGGCGTCGGCCGTCTTCCAGACCCCGGGGCGCAGGAGGCCCCATGCCTGCCCCTCCCCGGCCCTCACAGTATTTTCAGGGATGGGCCCCCCTCGGCGCCCCCCTCATGGGACGGCGGGTCCTTCTTCCCTCCCCCAAAGACAGCCCGACGGCTTGGTGGGCACCGGGGCATCTCAGGTCTCCCCTGTGGCAGGAGGGGGGTCTGGGTGCAGGCAGGCAGGGCGGACGGCCGCCGGACCCCCCCCACTGACTGACAATCGGGGCTCCCTTGAACCTTGACCTTAAGCTGCAGCTGACGGGGGCCGCCCCCACTGCCCGCTCCACCAGGGGCTCTGCCCCCCAGGAGGGTGGCCCCGAGCAAGTGGGAGGGGCTGGACAGGCACCCGTCAGCCAACGTGGGGGTCCCGCTGACCCCCTCCCCGGGCACCCGAGTGCCCTTCTCAGGGCTCAGTCTGACCATGGCCACGTCCTGCCCCTCTCACCCTCGGGGCTGGTGTGAGCGCTGTCAGCCCCTCCTGGAGCAGGGCCAACCTGGGGCAAGGCTTCTGCTCCGCCCACCTTCAGGAAAACGGCTGCAGCTGCCACCACCCCCTCCCCCGGGCACCCCTCCGAACGCCCCAGCGCACAGGTCACACGTGCGTGACCCCGTGACCCCCGGCCTTGGCCACCGCACCCCACCCCGGTCCTGGGGCGGTGACACTATGCAATACAGGCTTCCTTTTCTCCGTGCCCCACGGGCAGCCTGGCCCCGTGGTCTGGGCAGGGCTCCCGCCGCCCGGCCGACGGCTTCTAGTTGTTCATCCCATTCTGTTAGTTTTTGTAAAAACATCGGTTGACTTCCCTTCCTCGTTGTTAAGAAATACTTGAATGTCGGGGGGGGCCTCCTGGGTTGGGGGGCTGGGATGCCGTCACTGCAGCCCCTCGAGTCTCGTTCGATTGTCGCAGGTCATGGGGGCCGCCGGCCCTCCCGGCCCCCGCCCGCCCGGATCTGTGGACTGGCCTTCCCAAAGACACGGGGTGGGACCGCCCCACCCCTCCACGGCTCACCCGCCAGCGACCCCACGTTTCGCAACTGGGGAGTCCGCCTTTTTGTAAAAAGACGCAACAGGCGCTGTGTCCATGTTCCTTTGGAAAGCTGGGCTATGAGCAGCTGTGTTTTTTGTTTCTGTTTTTGTTTTTGTTTTTTTCTTTTCCCCAAAGGTGGGACAGCCACTTCCTCCTCCCCCATCACTTCGACGGGGCGGCTGGGGGAGCTGGTCCGAACCCTTAACTGTGAACGAGCGGCCGGGTCCCAGGCCGCCCTGGCGCGGGGGGCACGGCAGTGTTTCGATGTTAAGAAGTGTGAAAAAAGACAAAAAAAAAAAACTCGAATTTTTTTTAAAAGTGGGGGAAAAACATCAAAGCACTTTAAACTCCACTGTACCAGGCAAACTGATACAGCTCAGAAGGTTTCCTTTACAACCAACTGTCAAAGCCGGAATTTTGTATTCTGTTTTGTAAGGATTTAATAAAACCATAAAAACTCGCGTGGGCCTGTGCGTCCTGGTTTTCTGGGGCCGCGTTGCGAGCCACCCCCACCCCCAACCTGGTGGCCCCACTGTCTCAGTGCCTCCTGGTGATGGGCTGGGGCCCCCCGCGGGTGGGCTGGCTGGTCCTGCCGAGGGATGCCTGGGCCCCCGGCCGGGAAGCCTCATCGTCTGCAGGTTCGAGCTGGGCTGGCTTCAAGGCCACTCAGACGGGAAGGAGGGCCGGGCGCCCACGCGTGGCCTCCCGCGTGGCTTGGGCCTCCTCACAATGTGGCAGATGGGTCCAAGACCGGCCCACAGCAGAAGCTGCAGGTGATCTGGCGTCACCTGCCCATCACGTCCATGGTCAGGTGCTCAGCTATCTCAGATTCAAGGGGGGAAGCCCCAGTCATTCAAACATCCCCCGTGTGGCTGGCCCTCCTCCCTCTCGACTCCATCCCCTCAGCCATGATTAAGCTCTCGCTGGATGCAGCCCTCTGTGCCGCACAGCCCAGGGTTGACTTCAGATCCTGGGGGGAAGGGAGTGAATCAAGGAGAACTTCCTGGAGGCAGGAGCCCAAAGGAGGCAGGGAAGCCCAGTGGCTGAGGACGTCAGCCTGGGCTGGAATCGCAGCTCCCTCCAGACTGCCGTGTGCCTCAGTTTCCTCATCTGATGAGTGGGGATCTGAGAGAAGCCACGTGAGGTGACAAGCAGCTAGCACAGTGATGAGGGGACAAGGAAGAAGCAGGTGCCGTCACTCTGGGGCCTGGGGTTGGGGAGCAGGCAGTGCTGGATGGGCCGGTCCAGCATCAGCCCCCGGAGCCTTCTGTGTCTGCTCCTCTCCCTGAGCACCGTGTGTTCAGGTCCGTCCACGTGCAGCCGTGTCAGGGCCTCGCTCCTCTTCACGGCCGCGTCGCACTCCAGCGTGTGGGTGCACACGTGTGTGGATCTGTTCATTCACTGGTGGACATTTGTGTTGTTCGCACTTTGTGGCTGTGTGAGTTGTGCTGCTGAGAACATCTGTGTCCGGGTTTTGTGTGGACGTTGTTTTCATCCTTCTGGGTGGACCCTCGGAGAGGATGTGAGCAGGGCACAGACCAACAGGATGTCATTTTCGGAAGAACCGTTCTGGCCGTCCCATGGAATATGGACCTGGGGTCCCAGGGACCCAGTGAGCCATTGTCACCCTCAGAGCCAGCCCAGTGACGGATGACGGGCCTGGTGGGCGTTGTGGCCAGGAGCCACAGGACAAACGCCAGGCCGTGTGGGGGGGTGGCCTGGCAGTGCCTGGGGACAACCTGAACATGGGTCGGGGCTGGAGGGGGGCTCTTGGGGCTGTGGGCAAGGCTCGCCTGGCAAGGCATGGGCTCCAGGATCCTCTGGGGCAGTGGGTCACCCCCCTCCTGCCTAAGAGCCCAGCATCAGCAGGTGGCACACCCCCCAACCCGGCCCATCAGGAGGAAGCCTGGGCACCCTTGGGCCTGGTCCCTGCCCCCAAAATTTGTTCAGCTACCTCCAAGACAGATACCCCGCCCCCAGTCTGGCCCCCACCAGCCCCCTCCAGGACCACCGACCCGCCTGGTTCCCTGGCCCACGCCACCCCCAGTGTCCCCCCTCAATTCCCGGGGCCCCGCCCTGGCCCTGGCAGGGCCTGGCATACGCGTGGGGGAGGGGGTGTCACATGCCCAGCCACCGCCCTCCCTTGCAGGTGGCAGCAAGCCCTGCCCAGCCCTGCCAGGCCCGCCGCTGACCGCTCCCTGCCCCCTGCCGCCCTCCAAGCCCGGGCCGCGGGCACAGCCTGTTCCCCAGCCTCACTCGCTGCAGCTCCGCAGCCCCGCTTCCTGCCGCCCGCCCGCCCCTCCCGCAGCGCCGGCCTCCAGCGGTGGCAGGAAACCCAGCCCTTCCCGACCGCCTGGGCCCAGGCTCCACCCCTGGAGTGGGGACGCCAGCTCGGGGCTCCCCTGGTCCCGCGAGTCCCAGCCAGCACGGAGCGCGTGCAGATCAGACGGTCACCCTGAGGTCACACCCGAGATCTGGGGAGCCGCCACACACTGATGTCAGCGCCAACAGGCAACCGGAGGAGGGGGGGCACGAAAACTGTGTTGTCTTCTGTCCACATGAGACTGTTTATTAAAAAGTAAGTTGTATTAAAAAAATAATAAAGTGAGAGAAGCAGACACAGAAGGACACACGGCGTGTGACCCCATGGACGTGAAACATCCAGAACAGGCAGATCCACAGACAGAGAACAGGCTCGTGGGTGCCAGGGGCTGGGGGGGGGGAGGTGGGGGTGATGCTGATGGCGACGGGATTTCTCTTTGGGATGGCAGAACGTTCTGGAATTAGATAGTGGTGACGGCTGTGCAACATGCTCAATGTACTACATGGCACTGAAACGTTTATTTTTTTAACTTTGTAATTTTATGTTATGTGAATTTCACCTCAATAAAAATTAAAAAGGCAGTGAGACTGAGTCTGTGTAAGGTGCGGTGCACACAGCAAGTGCTCAATAAATGCATGGAGGAGTGACATCATCCCGAGGGAAGGGAGGAGGCCAGCTCGGGTGTCTCCTCCCTAGAGCTCAGGGACTCGTGCCAGAGTCTGTTCCCGTCATTGTCACTAGTCACCGTGCCGGGCCCTCCTCCGAACCGCCCCGTCTCATTGTTCTCCTTAGTCGTCCCATCTCCAGAGGAAGCCCGTGACCTGTCCTGGCCTTAGACTCCCCGGGAAGGAGGAGAAACTGGATCAAAGTAAAGTGCAATCAAATCAAGTCAGACGTGACGAAGAAGTCACCTCGTTGGTTGCAGCCTGGATGGGGTGATCCAGGGCAGGAGGGAGTGGGAGGGAGGGAGGGAAGGCTGGATTCCTGGGGCCGGGGACACCTGGGGGAGGACGGGATCCACCCGACCCACCTTGCTCGCCTCCGGGGTTTGGAGAGGCAGCTGGAGCTGGGCGGGCCATCGTGTGCCGTTGGCCCCGTCTGTTCCCACTCTGGGCTGCGTCCACACCCTCTGTCACGCAGGCACTGCGCTCTCCCCTACGTAGGGTTTGGGGTGTGTGGGCAACCTTGGCAAGATGCTGTAGGGGTTCCGTCACGTCCATCATCACCCCAACGGAGACTCAGTTTCCCAACGTGGAATGGGAAAGCAACAGCTCCATCCTCCCCTGCCTCAGTTTCCCTTTTGTGACCTCCATGTGAGGTGGCAGAAGGCTCAGACACCAACAAAGGGGGACTTGCCCAAAGCTGCACCCTTGGCTCAGGGGTCAGGGAGACCTCCGGGGTCTGGGGCCCAGGCCACCCGTGTTCAAGGCCCTTGGGGCAGCATCTGGCATGAGGTCACTGAGTCCCAGAACAGACTCACAGACAAACAGGGACGCGCTCAAGTGGCCAGCGTTTTTTTTTTTTTTTTTTGAGGGAGATTAGCTCTGAGCTAACATCTGCTGCCAATCCTCCTCTTTTTTTTTTTTTTTTTTGCTGAGGAAGACTGGCCCTGAGCTAACATCCGTGCCCATCTTCCTCTACTTTATACATGGGACGCCTGCCACAGCATGGCTTGCCAAGCGGTGCCATGTCCGTACCTGGGATCCCAACCGGCGAACCCCGAGCCGCCGAGAAGTGGAACGTGCGAACTTAACCGCTGCGCCACCGGGCCGGCCCCTCAAGTGGCCAGCGTTTTATCCGCACGTTCAAAGCGGCGTCTACTCCCTGGGTACAGGGGCCACATCGAGGTTGTGTATCTGAGCGCTGGTCACTCCCAACCTGAGGTCGTCAGCCTAGTGTCTCAACCCTGTCCAGCCTCTGGTCCTTCATTGTCATCCGTCACCGTCGCCGTCTGCCGGGGTGGCTTTATCCCTTCCCCGGTTCCTGGTGTCAGGCATGCAATGGCGAGAAACCGGCTCACAGCCACTCCCACGTCGGGGCCAGGACCAGGGAGAGGCGAGCACAACCCCTGCCAGGGTGCAAAGTTTAAGGCAGGACCAAAAAACCTAGCCGTCAAGATAACACTACTCTGTGCTGGGAATTTTTGCTGCAACACTGGTGGATTCACAGGGAGCTGTAAGAAATAACGTTTTGCCCAGTTTTCCGCAGTGGTAACATTTTGCAAAACTCGATGACAATGTTGCAACCGGGATAGTGACACGGCTACAAAGTGTCTTATTTGGAAGTTGCCCCTTTCACTCAAAACAGAACAGTGTCCTCCCTGAACTTGAGGACGCTCTGTTCGCCGCGTGTTCTCACTTGGAAATAAAAGCACATCAGACCAGACCATCAAACCTGGCGCCTTCCCATAGAACTTTCTGGAATGATGGACATGCTCTCCATCTGCACTGTCCAGTACAGCAGCCACCAGCCGCATGTGGCTCCTGAGCACGCGAAATGCAGTCGGTGTAAACGAGGGACGGAATGCTTCATTTAGTGCATTTTAATCGGTTAAATTTATGCGGCAGGTCAAGCCCTCCCTTTTCAGCCCAGGAGGCCTGGCCCCCCGCGTTGTCTTTGGTTGATCCTCAGCTCTCACGCCTTCGGTTCGTTAGTCCTGAGCTCTGGGCATACAGCTGGCGCTCAATTAATGCTCATGGAGGCAGAGAGGCTGAGTGGGTGAGGTCTCTGCATGGGTGGTCCCTCCTGCCCTTCTACCCCCAACTCTGACCCTTCCAGGTGAAACTGGGCTTGTCCCCTCCAGGGCCTCACTACGCGCATCCGTGAAATGGGGTGGGGGGCGTCGTAATGCCGGGAGAGGGGGCTCCCTCATCTTCTGCACCTTCCCCCCTCGCATGTGCGGCTTCTTGGGGTTTCACGGCCCATGACAACCACCTAGAATAATAAACACACTCTATAGCAGTGGGAGGCATCTGGGGGAGGGTGTCACCCGGACCCCCACTCTAGAATGAGGGTGGAGGCAAGGGACCAGGTCCCAGTGGGAAGACAGCCCCTGACCCCTCCACTTGGGGCCAAGGAGGGAGCACGCCGGGCATCCCGAACAAGGAGGAGGAGGCAGTTTCAGATGGGGAAACTGAG